TTGTTGGTTTTATTACTTATTGAATTTCCTAAATTAATGAGTAAAGACAACAAAGGGAATATTTTTTATTTTCAAGAAAATATATGATTGTTTTTATGTTCCATGTTCATGTGATAGGTTTGGGTTGAAGAGATTGGCATAATTACATTAAATTATGTAAAGCTTTGTTGGCCACAGTAAGGAATTTGGCCATTGTTCATGTCATGCAGGGGAATGACATGATCCTCAGGTAGAAGCAGGAAATCATGAAGAATGAACTTTCTAACAGGTGGAGTTTTGCAGCAATGACATGGATGGCCTCGCTCAGCAGTGAGCTCCCAGACTCAGGAGCAGTAGGTAGGGAACCCTTGCAGGGGATGCTGTAGAGTAGGGTTGGACTCCAGGAGGGATGTAAGGTGAGATAACTTCTAAGAACCTTCCAGAACCCTCCTACTCCTCACATTCTCCCTGGCCAGCCTCATGTCCACCACTCCCTAACCTACATTTTGGTCTCCAGTCAGGATCTCTTCAATGCTTACCAGGAGGTGGCGCCAAACTGAGGTTCTCCTCACTCTGAACATTCTTTCTACACCTGCTCTACTTTCCTTTTTGCCATTCCAATTTTACCTACCTACAGCAATTTTTTTAAAAAATTGTGCATTAGGTGAAATTTACAGAGAAAATTAGATTCCTATTCAATAATTTGTACATACAATGTCTTCATGGCCTTGGTTTCATTTCCCACGAAGTGTCAGCACTCTCCCCATTTCCACCCTGGTTTCCCCGTTTCCTTTTGTTCTGATTTTCTACCCCTTCTTGCCTTCTCATCTTTGCTTTTGGACAAATATTGCCCTTTTGATCTCATATGATTGATTGTTCTAAGGAGCACATTCCTCTTGGGTGTTACTGTTTATTTTACGAGCCCTGGTGGTGTAGTAGGTAAGAACTCGGCTGCTAACCAAAAGGTTCGAATCCACCAGCAGCAGCTTGGAAACCCTATGTGGCAGTTCTACTCTGCCCTGTAGGGTCACTATGAGTCGGAATTGACTCAATGGCAATGGGGTGTTGTTTGGCTGGAAGGTGGTCTCCAGGAATACCTTCATTTCCAGGTCAGAAAGGTGTTTTAGGGCTATAGTCTCAGGGGTTCCTCCAGTCTCTGCCAGACCAGTATGTCTGGTCTTTTTTGTGAAGTTGATTTTTTGTTCTACATTTTTCTCCCGCTCTGTCCAGGACCCTTTTTTGTGATTCCAGTCAGAGCTGTCAGTAGTGGTAACTGGGCACCATCTAGTTCTTCTGGTCTCAGGGTTGTGTAGGCTGTGGTTCATGTGGTCCATTAGTCCTTTGGACTAATGGCTCCCTTGAGTCTTTGGTTTTCTTCATTCTCCTTTGCTCCGGATGGGAAGAGACCAATAGTTGTATTTTAGATGGCTGCTTGCAAGCTTCTAACACCCTAGACATTACTCACCAAAGTAGGATGCAGAACATTGTCTTTATGAACTATGTTCACAGCAATGTTTTTGATACATGCTTATAAAGGCATAACGGGGGCTGATTGAATAAGTTATTGTATATTCACATAATAGGATGTTGTATGTCCACTTACATTGAGATGTTGGAAGAAAATTTAATGACGTGGAAAGATGGACACCACATACTATTATTCAAAAGAAGCTGGTTACAAATAGTGGGGTCTCATTTTTGAAAATTAACAAAAATTATTTATGAATAGAAAAAATACTAGATGACATATATAACAAAATGTTGTCATATTCTCTAGGAAATGAGATTGGAGATATTTTCATTTATGTTTTCTAAATTGAATACAATTAGAATTATTTCATTTTTGTTGGCTTTTACAAAAGTATTTTTGTTCATCAAAGCCACCCTTTTCCCTGTAACTCTGACCTACACTTATCTTTTTTGTTTCGTTGCTGGTTCTGTATAATCCAGTACATGGTTATAGACAGTCTTGAGTTATAACAAATGCTTCGTTCATGTTGGTCTCAAAGAAAAGTTTTCTCTGGCAAAATAGCGATTTATTTTCTGCTGTTTTCCCCATCACATAGCACTGTGCAGACATCAGTCATTTGATGGAGGCTTGATACTGGGTCCTCAAGGTGTGCCACACAGCCTATGTGGCTTTCCAGAGAGGCCTTGGACCTGGGAATGGCCCCAAACTCCCACAGCTCTCCTGGGTATGGTGAGCCCCATGGGACTGAGGGCTCCCCATCCAGGTGCCCGGTCACTGGCATTCCAGACTGCTTGACCCTATCACATTATTCTGCCTCTGTCTCCTCTGGTGACTGGGCCAAGATGGCTGCAGAATCTGATGCCCTGTCCACCTTCCAAACTAACTGTCCATCTGTAGCTGGAGCACAACTGCAGGTTGTATTCCTCTCATTATTTGTAAACAGCATTAAAGCTGAGGGAACTTTAGTAATTATTATTCTTTTGGAAATTACCCGACATCCTATTCTTTAAAAAAAAAGAGCCTTATTGCCATGGTGCCTACTGTGTGCTAGGTACTAAGCCAGTCAATAGCACTATGAAGCTGACGGCAGGGACAAGGCCTGGTGAGCAAGCCATGCTTTTGTTCTCTTGCTTAGTCCATGCCGGGAGGCAGCTGCTCTCTTACATTTTCACTAGCAAACCCTCTGAAATCACCTCTGTGATGACCATCATCACACGCTTCACTCCACAGGTGAGTCAAGCTCCAGTGATCACTAGTTAGCACTATTATCACCTCATTTCCATCACTAAACCAGAGGGACAGCATAGCTGAAATAATGAGATTTAGAACAGGAGACCCTGCTGCTTTCTTGACAGTTTTTTTCAAGTGCTTTCAGACATAGCTCTCCATAGATATCTGAAGCGCTGTCAGATGGAAAGGGGACAAGATTTATTCTCTGACCAAACCCTGTTGCTTCTACAACCCTAACATCACTCCGATTGGCACTTTGTTCACTTCCCTCCCCTCCCTTGGTTCAGACCACCTTGCAATCTTGCCTGGATTACTCTAACAGCCTCCTAAATGGTCTGCCTGCCTGCCCAGTCTTGCTCCTCTAATCCTTCCCTCAGAGAGCCTGAGTGATCTGTTTAAATTGTAAATCTGGTCATACCACACCTCTGCTTAAAACTCTGTACAGGCAGTCCCCGGGTTATGAACATCTGACTTACGTACAACTCCCATAAAGCCTAGTATATTAAAAATTTGGGGTATATACAATGGTTTGTAATAACAAACAGGTGCTACTTTGCACATCAAAACATTATTATTACTGTATTATGTTAGAGATGTTCTAGTGTATCTGAAGTGTTTCCTTAATGTTTTTTATGCATAGAAATGTACACTATATACTGTATACTAAGACGAACATTCCAATTTACATACAAATTCGACTTAAAGACAGATTTAGGAACGGGACTCATTTGTAATCCTGGGACTGCCTGTAATGCTTCTGCGTTGCCTTCAGGATAAAATCTAAACTCCTTAGTATTGCTTTTAAGACCCAAGCCTGCTTAGCTCTGTGGCCGCATGCCTCACCCAGGCCGTTTCAGTCCTTCGGAACCACTTCACACTGAACCCCAAACACTCCTTATTCTCTCTTACCTCCAAGTCTTTGTCCTCCCCTCTACGCCTAGCTAGTGTCTTGTCTTTTAGGAGTCACCTCAGATGTCACTTCCTCCAAAAGCCTACCCAAGTCACCCAAGGCTAGGCTAGGTATCTTTGTGTTCTTCAAGAGTATCCTAGGCTTACCCCATCATCACTCTTGTCATTTTATTGTGTAGCTGTCTCTTTACACGTATCTTTCTCTCCAGACAGTAAGCTCCTTGAGGACTGGGATTTTTTTATCATTGTATCCCCAACACCAGTGCCTGACACATAGAAACAATAGTTACTGAGTGGATAAATGACAGAAGACATAACAAAGACAGATGGAAGCTTAGAGGGGTGGATTTCATTTTATGTACTGAAGAACTTTCTAGTAAATGGTGATATTAAAAAAAGGAACAGACTGGCTCACAAAGCACAGTGAAAGCCCTCCCCTCCCTAAGTCTCCAAGCAGAGACTATGTGGTCTTTGGGCAGGAGGCTCCTTCAATACATGCCCTCCACTCATTTCATTTCTGCAGGAAGGCACAATTAGAGTCACTTCTGGAGTCAAAAGATCTGGGCTCGGCAAAGTTTATTAATGGTAACTACGGGCGGGTGGGAGTGAGGGGAAAAGAGGGACTCACTGCTTAGGGGAGACTGAGCTTCTGATAAGGTGATGGGAAAATTTGGAAATGGATGATGGTCATGGTTGAACGACATGATAAACCTAACTAATGTCACTGAATTATACATGAGAAGAAGGTTGAAAAGGTAAATGATTTATTACCACAATTAAAAAAAACAAGGTCTGGGTTGGGGTCCCAGTTCTGCCATTTACTGTGAGATCTTAGGCAAGTCACAGCCTCTCTGAACTTCCTCGCTTGTAAAACAGACACCTGTACTGTTTACTTCCTAATTTTGTGAGAACCAAGTGAGACCATGTCCATTATTTTGTAAAAGCCTTAAAATCAAAGAGCAGGCATTTTATTATTATTTACGACATATTCTTCAGGACTTGCAGCTTCACTGAATAATATTAGTTTTGCAACTACATTGGAAAACAAAGTTCCTATGCGGAAACTTTTACTGCTGCTGCAGGCAGAGCTGAGAATTAAGAGCAGAAAGATCTTCTAACTTCTGTTCTGCACCACTGCCGTAGAGAAGAGGCAATGGTGGGATCAAAGGCACCCGCTTAGCTAGGATCTGTCAAAGGCCCATTGTTCCTGCCATCAGGGAGAGTCCTTGGAACCCACCACTTAAACAAGGGGAATAGGGTCCCCAAAGCCTTAAATCACCATCAAAATCAGCCAAAATAAAAACTACACATACTCAGTAACATTCGCCTTTGGGTCTCTTGATTAAAGCAGAATCAAGAACAGCTGACAACATTTCACTTCCCCTTTGGCAAGACAAACCAAATGAAACCATTTAACTTAAAGGCTTTTTATTAGGAACCAGGGGAATGAGCTGCTTATCCCTCTATAACAGTCTACAGCAGGTCACCAGGCCCGGGCTGGAGAGAGACTGTCAAAGGTGCTGCGGTGTGCTTTGCTGCACTTGCTTAGGGCCTGGAAGGAAAGGTGGCAGCAATGAAGGTTGGCAGGAACTGGTGTGAGCCAAAACACCAACAGCCTGGGGAGAGCCCTGTACCTTTCTTCCAACTCCACTCAAGGCCAGTGCATGCCAAGAGACAGAGAATGTGCTGGAGTGGCAGGGCGTAGCAGTGTTGTCTGAACCCCTGGCTTCATTCAGGGCTGCTTCACTTGCCTGCTCTCCACTCTTCTTGCCGTTTAGTGATCAGGTATTTGAAGAACTCATACACAGACCATGCAATGGCCGTAGAGGGGATCTGGTAAATTACTCTAGCCTGCACTCCTCGGAAGTAGGCGGTCACTCCGCCTACTTGATACACCGTCCTGAAGGCACTAGCCATGCCTGTGATGTGTCCCGTAATGTTTGAGTTCAAAGCCAGGGATTCCTGGGTGTTGAGCAGTGTCTTGCAAACGTCCAGTGGGGTTGTGGCAGCAGCAGCTACAGCTCCCGCGCAGGCTCCGGAGAGGACGTGGGAGCTGGGGTTGTACCGTCTCTGGGGGTTAAAGTGCTCCTGCAGGAATTCATAGGTCATGAAGTGGATGGCTTGGAAGGGAACGTTCATGGTTAGCTGGGTGGTATAGCTGCGGTAAAAGGCTCCAGCCCCTTCATTCTGCCACACTGCCCGTACACAGTCTGTTACTCGGTGGTATGGAGAGTTGTACATCTGCATTCTCTGCTTGACCACTGGAGGTGCCATCAGCAAGGAGGAAGGAAACAGCAATAGCAACCAATTGGTGAGAGAGCGTCCAGATTCAGAGTCCCGAGTCAGCAGATCAGCCAATGGAATGGAAAGAGAAAAAAGAAAATATGAGTGAGTTGCCAGTCAACCTGGTGAGTTAAGGTTTCCCTTTTTTGAGGGGCGGGGTAGGCAGAAGGTTGATAAAGAGCTAAAAAATAGTGGACCCACTTCTAGCAGGATTTCTTTAAAACTAGCCAATTAATGCATAGAAGATATCTATCGTTTAGATTCCAGAGTGTTCCTTGAAATAAGTACCTACTATTATTTTACCCTTTCATACTTCCTAAGAAATGTCTCAGTGGCAGTTAACATATTAATAAGCATATAACCTTAACAAGCCAAATCCTTGGGTACTAAGAGTACCTAACTTTTAAGCATGGTTAGCCTCTCAGAGAAGAGAAAGGAGAAGTGCTATCACAAACAAAATAAGACTCTTAGCCAAAAAAGAGTTTGGCTTTAGTTTCCAAACATCTCCCACTCCGTCAAGATGATAATATGGCCCGAGCTTAGCTCTGGCCCTTTCCACCCCACGGCCTTGTCCAGGCAGGTAAAGAAGTGGAATGTAAGGAACATGGCAACTATGCTATGCTCCCCATATTTGTGGATTTGTTGGGGTACCTCATTCTCTAGACTCCTCCAACTGGAAAGTCAAGATCCAGGCAGAAATGCAGTGACAGAGCTCTAAAATGAATTTTCCCTTTTATCCCTATCTCAACTATATTCATTCCAATAAAAAAGGCAATGTTCTAAAACCCCAAAATCCATCTTCACGTCTTTGAAGGAAAATGAAATAATCCTGCTGAACTTTCAGAAGAGATCAAATCCACTATAAAGGAGACTTCCAAGAAGGCCCAGGAACAGGCCAAGGAGAGCCTTATCTTTCTCCAGGGAAGCCTCAAAGATGAAAAAAAAACCAAAAAACCTGCTGCCTTCAAGTTGATTCTGACTCATAGCGATCCTATAGGACAGAGTAGAACTGCCCCACAGGGTTTCCAAGGAGTGACTGGTGGATTTGAACTGCCGACCTTTTGGTTAGTAGCAGAGCTCTTAACCACTGCGCCGCCAGGGCTCCAAAGATGAATCAAATCCCAATGAATATGCCTTCTAAAAAACAAGGGACTCCTCCTAAGGACCAATAACATGGAGGGAACGCCCTCTAGTGGTAAAACAAAGTAACATGGGCAGGATTTCCCATCAAAATGAATGGGGATCTCCCTAGCTTTTTTCTGTAAATGAGAAATAAAGGAAAAGCTCAGAGACACAAATGCAGCTGCGTATGGAGGGAAAGGCTGAGTAATCATTACCTTCTGCTGGATTCATGGCTGCATCGTGAAGTAATGTTGCCACACACCCAGCTGCACCTGCAAATGAGAAAACAACTGCCACATGTGAGGCCAGGAGAGGGTGACTGATTCACTGAGGCCCCAGAGGGGACGGGAGTGGCTGTGCTAAGCCACAGCAGAGAGGGAATGTCAAGAGCCAGTCCAACATGGAAACCCACTGGTCCTAAACTCCTTTTCCAAGAAATGAAGCTATTTGTTCCCACCAAGTAAGGTCACCAATGTACATTCCATATCTATAATAGGAAGGCCAGGAAGAGTCAAAGGAAACAGCCCAGATTTTATCAATAAAGATGGTACTGAGAACAAATGCAGTTCATGCCCCAGAGAGGAAGCGGATACAGAGCTGCCAGGGGATGCCAGCACATCAACTGCCCCCAGCGTGGGCGTGCTAATGTAAAGGAGGGAGAACCTGAGGGTCAGGTGGTCAGATCTCCAACAAAGACTCTCACCTTCCCTGTACTCCTGTCTCCAAATCCTAACATCTGTCCACCTAGACTTTTCCTTTAGTTCCCAAACTACTCTATCCCTCATTTTCTCCACATTCAAATTTGGTTTCCAGACAATCCTGAAAGCCCTGGGCTGCTCTCTCTTCCCTTTCTTCCACACAACCTTGAACCCTCTGGCTTCTCCGTACAGAAGTCCCTTGTCCCCACCCCCATTCACTTGTTGAGGCCTTCTCATGTCCTCAGTGACACAAGCTGCCTCTGGTTCAGTTGGGATCCTGAAAAGGTGAGGCGAAGAGCTGGGGCTCCATGAGTGTCTTCCTTGGGTGGCTGGCTGGGTCCCCTCAGATCCTGCCCTGAGGAGCAGGATACCACCCGGCTATCAAGGAATATACAGCGAGGGTAGTTCAGTGTGTCTCCACATTACCAGGGCATTAGAAGTTGATGCCAAGGAGAAGATCAGAGCAAAGAGACGAGCTGGTAGGTAAGGGAGGATACTGCAACCCTTTGTTGAGATGCCCCAAAAGAGGGGTGGGGTTGAAGCAGCCCATTGCCTGAGAACATCAGGTTTGGAGGTCCCTTCCCTAAAATCTGGCCTACCCCAGCCCAAAGCTTGCTGAGACTGGAAAACATTGACAGCAGCAAAAGCTCAAAGAGTTGGGAAAGTGGGGGAACCAGCACAGGAAGGCTCAATACCATTGGCAATATGGCTATTGCCCCCAGGGTGGATTACATCACTCAATGTCTTTTTTAACTTTTCGTAGCAGGCAAAATAGAGGGCATGGGCAGGCCCCGCGCCTGTTGCTGTGACATTCAGCCCCCGCATGGGCCTCCACAGGCCCTCCGTTCTTATAATCCTCCAGAGGGCCTCCAACACATTGCGATAGCGAGCAGCTGGGTCAGGCTGTAGGCTCTGCATCCGGGTCTGAAATTACAGCAAGAAGAGCAATGTCAGTGATGCTAATTTCTTGCCCAACCTCAACACTTAGGATTTGAGCATTGGGCAGACCTCAGAGCTTGTACATGGAACCATGCAGGAGTGATACTTGGCATCCAGTTTTAGTTCTTTCCAAATCTACGGCCAATCTTTCCAAAGCTTGGACCTTTCTTTTTCTAGTTTTTTCTAGTTATTTAGTGACCCTAAGGGTGGAACACCACTACTCTTCTGAGAATATCACCATTTAGTTGGTATCCTTGAACTCCAAAATGATTCAGCCCCAGCAGCAAACATCAAGCATGTGTTTCAGGAGAAGTTGCTTTTGTCTTTAATAAACACAGGTTAGGAGTTCTTTACAAATAGATTCTAAACTCAGAATATATACTGATTGTCTACAGCATACATTGTGCTTTATTTCTGAAGACTGATCCTTGGCCTGCTTCCTGACCACATACTACACTGACTAATGAGATGATGGCTCATCCTTTGATACTTTTTTAGACCATCTGGCATTGGCAGTTGGGTTTGCAAGTTAGGATCTTGGCAGAAGTAGCACTCCTAATAGATGCCGCTCTAGCGTACTAGGAAAGAAAATTTCCCCTGAAACTATGAAGCTGGGAGTGTCTAGCTGGAAACCAACCTAGTCTCTAAAACTGAAGGGACTTCCAGATTTCTAATCTTAGCTGACCAAATTTAAAAATCGCCGCTAGCAAATACAACCAATCTTAATAAACACAATCTCTGGAATCTGGAGGATTCAATCATTTGAACAAGTATGTGGTAGATACATTGTAATGAAGTTTCTAGACAAAGTTTGTTGTAATTTGGGAAATTGAAGACCTCTGTCTATTGATCCATTTCAAGGTTAAAAGTAGCACAGAGACAAACGGTTAATATAAAATCAATGTCCAGTGCCTAGCACAGAGTAGGCAATCAAAATTTGTTTGCTGAATGAATGAATGAATTTTTTGTTACACAGATGTGTCTGCATCAGTTTAAAGAGGAACAAGTAGAGCCATTAGTGAGTGAGCCAATATGGGCAATTGATGACCACCTACAGCTTAAATACTTCATCTCAATCATTGGATTCAGTCTGGATTTTGAAATTTGAATCTTCCTGGTGGCCAGCTGGAATCCAAGAGTAATGCCTTTTCTCAAGAGCATGGGAGAAAAGAAACTAACTAGATTAACGGGTCTTGGTTAGCCGCAAGCAATCCACATTCCTGAGAGTTATTTTCTCCTGCTACCAACAAAGAACTGGAAGCTTAGAAGGTAAATTACTGGAGGTTGAATCAGAAATGCACAGGATAACTTACCACAGTTTTACACATTCTTTTCCATTTCTCAAAACAAACCCCATAGATTTCCAATAAAGATTTCCAATAAAGGGTGTACTTACTGATCTTTCCCATTACCCAGGGGGTATAAAATCCATCACAGGAGTTGTTCAGAGAGACTACTGGTCTTTGCTCGATATGGCTACTAATAAACTGGGCCTGATGGGTTAAGAAGTGTGTGCTTCCATAGGTTTGCTCAAAATTTGGGGCAGGGGGTACCTCCTCAGAAATTCCATTGCTCCGTTGAGTCAAAGGCATATTGAGGCAACCAGTGTTGAAAGGTCTGGCCCTAGAGGTCTGGAACCCTTTGCCCTCAAGAGAAAAATGGACTGTGGGTAAGTTACTTTGAACGTTGTACACACTTACCTACATCTAACAACAATTCCAACTCAATGAAAATACACTCTTATGGAGAGGACCCGGGCATAAGCTATACCAAAAATAAAAATAAATATGGCTCCCCAAATTTTTGGGCCAATTAATCTACGTTTCGCAGAAAGCTGAAATCACTAAGTAAGAATTTATGAATAACCTTGAAGAGTTCAATATAAACCACTGCGTGGCTTTGGAGAAAAGCCAAACTGACTAATTGGAGGTAAGTGGTATGGTAAAAGACAAGCCACATTTGAGTAAGAAAACTTGAGTTTGAGCCCCGATTTTGCTAAATGTGTGGCCTTACATATGTTACTTAACCTCTCTGAGCTTTAATGTTGTCATCTGTAACATGAGGTTAAGAATGGCTGGCTCAAAGGGCTGTTGTGGGGATTAAAAGAGATAGTGCATGTAAAAGTCATTGGTAACTTATAAGGCGCTATAAATACAAGGCTTTGTATTGTATTAAAATATGATTCTCGGAGGTATTAGTTCCTATGTTAGAATTCACAGACCATGGCGGCACTGTCTCTTTATAAGTCATTTCACAAATACACACATGCAACTAACTGGTCCGTAACCAATAACAAATGAGGTTTAATTACATACAGTGAAACCTGTGAGAGCTGGAACTTGATGGGACTGCTTTGTTTTTCCGGGTCTTGCAAGTTTTCTGCCTTTGACAGGGTGCAGTCTTACAACTTTTCTATCACCTTCTATTAGAGGAAAATATTTGAGTTTTCCTTCTCTGTCAGGTTTCCACCTTACACAAGTTCCGGCTTTTGCAAGTTTTACTGTATTTTTTGTTTTCATGTTAAAGTTTCTCTGTGGTGGTAATAGTTTACATGATCAGCTATTAATGTGAAGGTCATGTGGTCAGGGACAAGCTCTATTATAAAATTCTGTGCCTTGCTCGGCTCTTGAAATCTGCTTTTAGGAGGCTGTATGGAGACTTGGGAGTCAGACAGACTGGGCTCAAATCATGACTCTGTCACTTAAACTATGTGACCTTGGGCAACTTACTTAACTGCTCTCTAAGCCTCCTTTCCTTCATCTGTAAAATAATGAAAATGGTGTCCACCATTTCAAGGATTAAATGAATAATTTATATAAGGAACTTCAGGCAGTGCTTGGCACACAAGAACAACTGCCTTTTATTGAATACTTATTATTATTAGATGCAAGAAAAGCAAAGCCAATGTTTCCGTTTCCTAACCTTCACTGGTATATAGATAACCATTTACATTTGGAGTTTGGAAAAGACTTACCTCCCTCTGTTCTCTCCCTCTTTCACTTATTATGTAAATAGATATTTGCTTCCCCATTACAGGGCTAAGCAGCAGCACCTTGGTGACAGGTGGGTACTTAGCCAGCTGATTTTGAGAAGAGTTCTGACTGCTTTGGGTTGCAGAACCTTGTCCCTATAGATAAAGTCTGGAGCTTGCCTCTGAGGCCCAGAAAACAAAACTGGGATTTATCTGGGCTCTCAAACCTCCTATTATGACCCTGGAAATAGCCAGCTGAGTAACTAGGGCCTACCAAGGCTATGCTGACTTCCCATGGTCCTTCACAAGGATATTTTAAGTCAACTTGACCCTGATGAGTGTCTAGGGGTGCACAGACTTGCATGCTAAGAGGCAATGCCTGCTTTCATTTGCAAACTCTGCTGTGGATGCCCTGTAGGCTCCACCATGGATACCTGCCTCCAGTCCTGGGGTAGGGTCCGGATCCTCTCCCTCTCCACCATCCATTTACAGTGAAAGAGGAAGAAGAGCTGCCCGGGGACTAGTGAACCGGGAAGCCCCTTCTGAAGGTAGGGATTTGAACTTCACTTTCATGTCTGTACAACAGTATTTAACATACTGACACTAAATCCTATTGGTATAACCTAGTTCTTCCTTACAGTTAATCAAATCCTAGCATTAATGGCAAATGAAAATAATTCTTCTAAAATAAGCTTTTGTGTTTTTGAAGACTTTTGAGCATTCTTCTTCCAGATCAAATAATTATTTCTTTAACGTAGGTAGGGCTTTGAGGCATGACTATAACGTAGCATGACAAATTTTTTCAAAAACAAAAATTCCACAGTTTATATAAATGAATAAGAACCGTTCTCAGAACTGTTCTAACCTGAGGTGGCTAAAATCGACATATTCTAGCAATGCTGCAGTTATTCAAAACATTTCTAGAACTCCTTTCAGAAGTGTTCCCCCAGTGGGTTTACAGGCCTCCGGAGTAAATCAGTCTTCTTGTTTTCCGGTTCCACCTTATCTTTAACCCCAAGCACTAGTTCCTATTTTCATCCCACCTTATTTACCAGATTTGATTCTGAATGGTCTCAGTTACTAAAAAAAAATCAATTCCATCTTATCACAGGAAAAAGATTTCTCCCTTTAAAGATACACACCCAAATGTTCTAGAGACATTTCTAACAGAGGAATTTATAAAATGCTAATAGCAACATCATGATGTAAATATATGGAATAAGAGTAGGAATAAGACAGCCTCCCAAGGTAACTACAGGAAAGGAAGCAACACTTAGATTAATAAATTGTAGTGATATGTATAAGTCAGTCATATTATTACACTGTATTTTTCAAGCCATTAAATAACTTTCATTGCTTTCCCTGATCTGTTTTTCATTTGATACCCATCCTGAAACATAGCACCTTAGACCCTGCACTGTACTCACAGTCTAAGTACAGTGAGACTACTTTGCAATTAACTTTTGGATATACAGCATTATTAATTCAGTCATTCAACCCTGAGTCTATTACATAAACATCTGAATCTTTTTTACTGGTACTTATTCATTTTACATTTCAATATTAACAGAGCATTAACCATTCTCTTACTTATCTCTCATGGATGTTACTGTTTATTTCTATTTCTCCCAATTGACAAGGACATTTAAAATTCTAATGCCCATTTTGGTCAAGTGCATTTACCGCATTGTCGATGGCCCTTGTTAGGAGTTACCTTACAATAAGCTAGAATACTCCTGCTAACTCATTCACAAAGCTTAATGAGCACTTTCTCCCTTTCCTCATCCACATTATGAATGAAAACGTGAACCAGTACTGGAACCAGGGGGAAGAAGAGATCTACTTTGCATTTCCCAAGCTGATACTCTCCTCCTTTTGAACAGGTAACATTTGTCAAGTTTAAGGAGGAAACTTGCATCACAGAGCATTCCAGGATAATCTGACTATTACCCTTAACATGTAAACGAGACGCCAATCTCAGTCACATTATTTCAACAGTTCCCTCATGTTTACTTCTCATTCAGTTTAATCCTCACTTTTAGTGGTTTGTACCTTTGCTAATACACAAGAATGAGAACCGTAAAGAACACGAACCTGTCCTCCTCTTCACCCAGCTTTTTTCAGAAGGACCTGACTTCTGTATCCATTAAGCAGCGTGCTTGGTTCTGAATGGAATTAGTTTCATACAAATGGTACCCTCACGTTGATCCCATTCCACTGTCTTGGCATTTACTTCTACTTTCCAACACTCTCCCTCCTCTTCTAGGCAACTTTTCCTTTTTTGTCGCCTTTAGGTGGTCAAAGAAATACAGTATCAGTTCCATCTCTCGTTTGGGGGTCAATATGCTCCCTGCAAATACACAGTCCTAATCCCAGTTTAGTTTTCATGTTCAGGAAATAGGTGGAGTATCATGTTCGCCCAGCAGAGAAACTGAAACCTTTTCCTGAATATGGTCTTTTCCACATGATTTCCAGTCTGGAACTCTGAACTCAAACACAGGGATTTCCAGTCACTCGTGGTTTAAAGTTTAATATGAAAATACCAGATCTAGCTGAGAGAGCTCAGATTCAGGTTCCTGCCTCGTTACTTTAAGGGAAGACACAAGAAGCTGGTAAAAGCACTCGCCCAGAGAACATCTCAAGCCACTAAGAGTTTATTCAAGGTCTGATTCACGCCAGGTGGCTTTACCTTAATCGAGTTGGTAGCACTTACCTGCGTTTCGGGAGACCCCATCCCACCCTATTCCTGGTTAGTCCCAGCTGGGTTCCAGGGCTTTGGCTGACAGATTTTCGATCCAGGGTCCCGATTCGGATCTCACTGTCGGTTAGAAATGGGTCCTGGTTTCTGACTGGGATCGACTCCCAGCCGGGACCTTGCTTGCATGGCGTACCGGTTCGAATCATGTGGTAATAGCAGAAGCCAGGAAGATACCCATGTCAGCTCCGGCACCCAGCCGGGATCCTGGCTCCGCACAGGACCCAGGGGTCGGGTCAGCCCCAGGTCGGGTTCGGAGCCCGGTCCAGGTCTCACCTTGACGCAGTCGATGGGGTACATCACGCAGTGCTCCAGGATCCCTGCCACGGCGCCTGCCACCATGTGCGTGGTGACAGTGGCTCCAGCAGGCAGCGCCTCGTAGTCTGGATCGGAGTCTGGATCCTGCCGTACCGGGGGCTTGCAGGCCCCGGGCTCCCCGCTGCCGGCCCCCCGGCCCACGCCCCGCTGCAGCCACCCGTCTAGCAGCGCCGACTCCCCGGGGCTCCGCCCCGGCCCAGCCGCCGGCCCCCCCGCCACACCGCCGGCACCCCGCCCCTCCAACTCCATTCACCCGGGCCAGCTGCGGCGCCCACCCCCGTCGCCGCTGCCGCTGCCGCCGCCCTCCGGCCCGGACCCGTCCGCCTCAGGCGCGGCCCAGAAAGTCCGGGGCCTCCGGCTCCCGCTTGGCCTCCGTGGCCACGCCCCCCAACCAACCATTGGTGCAGCCTCTAAGTTAGCCCCACCCCTTTTCCTACGTAAGAAAAATTTGTCCGAAATATTAGTGAAGTTGCCTGTCATTCCTCCGCCCGGAGGCGTTGCTACGCCTTAGATCCCGCCTCTTCCTCTTTGATCTTGCAAGCTTCTTGTTTATTGGCCACTGATTGGCCGATATCTAAGATTAGCCCACCTCCGACTTTTTTTGGAGGGGTTGGGGGGGCGGGAGGAACTTAAGGCTGAACTTTGATAGGCTAAACCATTCTGGATACTTTGACCACGGCCATTGGCCCGGCACTACGTCGGTATCCGATTGGCTACAGTGAGAGAGCGGGCCGTCAAGGAGCGAGAGAGGCCGGTTTGGGGCACCTTATCGGCGCCAGTGGAGCTGCGGGAGGAGCTGGCGGGATCGCCTGTGTGGCGGTGGCAGGCCTTCAAGGTCAAACCACACACGGATGCTGTGAGAACCTGCGCTCGAGCGCCGGTCCCAAATCCCAAGACGGCCGCTCGCAGTCGGGCGTCCAGGGCCTCGAGAGCTCTGTTACCGCGGGATCTCGTGGTCGGCGTGAGGCGGAGCCGGCCTGGGACGGGCATCCCCTGGCGCGGCCCGCGGGCCAGTCCAGGAAGCTGTTGCGACATGCTGGCAGAGGCCGCCTCGCCACCAGGGAGGCCCCCGGCGGCCCGTTACAGACTCAAGTCGTGCCTGGCGTGTTGGCCTTTCAGGCCGCGGGCGGACTCCTTGAGGACTCGGTGCTTCTCAGCCCGAGCGCCCGGCACTGGGCCTTGCACCCGAAGTCGCTCAGTAAATCCCGCAGTTGTTGAATGAATGAGTTCTCCCGGTCCCCGGCTGTTGCTGGGCCCTGTGCCAAGCTGAGAGCTGGAGGCGGGGAAGGGAGATGTCGAAATGGGGCGGGACGATTCAGAGATGACAGGTGGAGGCCGGGCTGGAGGCAGCATCCCACACACAGCAGGGAAAGTATGGCAACTGGTGAAGCGCGAACGTACAGCTTGTCCTGCGTCTGAAACATCAGCATCTTGTCCCTGAGCTGACTCTCTGACAATCCCTACTGCCTGGTGATGATTGCCTTTAGCGATAAGACCGCTCTCCCTCCCGGTTGGGTCGACTGGAGTCTGATAGGGGCGCTCACTGCCTTAAGAACAATGCCAGCAATTCTTAGCTTCAGGACCACCTCCCAGGCGGTGACGTTGCACTGGGGCCCCGCACTGCACACAGACGTTCGAGCAACGCTCAAGCTGCAGCTTCGGGCGAGTCTCACTCTACTGGAGCGTGATTGCGCAAGTCTCCCGTTTCCAGCTCTGCCGTTACTACCTAATTTACCGAACTGATGATGCAATTCTGAACTTTCCCATCTATTTATATATTTTCCTTAGTAAGAAAGAAAATAGGAAAAACTAATAATCAGAGGCCCAGAGAAAGGCCAAGCTTTATGGAGAAAAAGGAAATCTCTTTCTCACCTGTTGTCTTCCTCTTCAGTAGTGGTTATTAACCTCTGGGTCGTGACCTTTTGGAAGATAATGAAGCTACAAATCCTCTTCTCCCTCATCCTCCCTGCACACACAAAATTTTGCATGTAATTTCTGAGTTGGCAGAGCCCCGGAAGGTGACTCGTGGACACCCTAGGGGTCCATTAACCTCACGTTAAGAACCTCCCTCCACAGCATGTTCAGTCTTCCCTCTCCTCTAGCTCATTTCCCTTGAGAAATGATCAGATCTCACAAAAAGAAACCCATTCAGTCCTGCTAAAGTACATTCCCTTTACTGCCAAGCTACTCCAGTAATAACCTATAGCTGCCATGTCCTTTTCCCCTCCTTAACCACGTTTTTTTACTCCTTTATTCAGCGGTCACAAATGACCTTTCCAAATCTAAAGGTTTTTTTCTTATTCACTTTTTTAAAATGGAGATTTCACACTTGTCTCTGTTGACCCATCCCTCATTGAAAGTTTGCTAGCTTCAGGAAGCACTGTATTCTAGTCTACCTTTTAGGCCTCTCAGTCTCCTACTCTTCTGTAGCCACTGAGGTGGAACATTCCTGAAGGTTTAATGCCTGTTCTTATTCATCTTTATTACCTTGGAGAACTTTGCCATTCCAAATGTTTTCCTTATTGGAGCCGCATGTGTGTCTCTCTGATTGCATACATTTTAACTGAAATTTCCATATGAACATTCATTCATTCATTCGGTAAATATTTCTTGAGTACCAAGTCTTTGCCTGACACAGTACTAGAAGCTAGGGAAAAGAGGACAGACAGAGCCCGTGCTTTCATGGAACGTGCTTTTTAATGGGGGCTGGGGCGGGGGGTAAGACAAAACAAGAAAAACATCAGATAGCTCTAGGGGCTATGCTGATCATTGAAATAGGGCAGTGTGATAAAGTGTGACTGGATGGCTATATTTGTTCAGGGAAGACCTCTCTGAGGAGATGACACTCTATGACAGGAGCCAGTCATGACAGATGCAGAGAAGAGTATTCCAGCAGAAAAAAAAGTAAGTACAACAACCCTAAGATGGAACAAAAGTCGGTGTATTAAAGAACAGAAAGAAGGCCAGTGTGGCTGGAGCATGGTGAGTGAGGGGGAAGTGATACAAGATGAGATTGGAGAGATGAGATTTCTGACTCAGCATGTCCATTTCAAACTCCGCCTTTCCACTCCCCACCCCAACCAATTTCTCCAATATTTTCCTTTTCTACAAAAGTCTTCACTGTTTGCTCAATCAACCAGACTCTAAAGCTGAGTCTTCCTTGACTACCCTCTCTTCCAAATCTCAGTATATGTCATTAATTATTATTCTAAAGTGTTTCTTTTGTCCATTCTTCCCTTTTCCTTTCCATTGATATTATCCTTTTCAGAACTTGATCATTTTACATCTATATTATTATAATAACCCCTTGAAAGGCCTCCCTATCTCCAGTTTCCCCTGGCTTCGCTAGTAGTTTGGTTCCCTTCCTTCCAGGCACATGGTAGTATTGTTCTTCCCACCTCCTTGAAGTTAGATTAGGCATGACCATGGAACTTGATTTGACCAATGAAATCTGAGAGAAGCATGAGAGAGTCACATGTTCACTTCCCCTGCTCCAGTGACTAATGATGTTTAAATGGGGGAGGCTTCATCACCCTAGGGCCTTAGGCGAGGGTGGTATGAAGCCAAGTTCCCTACTTGCCTCTCCTTTTCTCCCAAATAGACTTGCAGCATGAGTGAGAAATAAACCTTTGTTGTTTTAAGACATGGAGGCTTTAGGTTTATTTCATACCACAGCAAAATCTAGCCCAGTGTTAGTCAAAATTTAATGTATATATTAATCACCTGAATAACTTGTTAAAGTACAGATTCTGATTCTCTAAATCTGGGTTGGGGCATGAGATTCTGCATTTCTGACAAGCTTCCAGGTGATGGTGATGCTGCTGTACCCTGGATCACACTTTGAGTAGCAACAACCCAAGCCATACTATCTGACACTCCCCTCAACGCACACACACTATCCTGCATCTCATCAGCACTTAAATCTTCTTTAAAAAAAACTAACAAACACCATTCTTGTTGACACTCTATAAATCCTCAATAGCTTCCTGCACCTACAACTCCTCATCAGGATCTGTAGTCTTATTTTCTTATATTCACAGGATTGTTTCCCTCATTCTCCCTTTACCTCTTGTCATTTTCTTTTCCACAACTTTCTTCATTCTTGTGGCAGAGACCACAGCTAATTGTCTAAATATCAAGTCTCACTTCCTTTGGTAATTGAAACCCCGAGTTTTAGCTTGGGCACATGGCTTCTTAGTTAAAGTCTGTATTTTCTCCAGCTTTCCTTGCAGCTAGTGTTGGCTGTGTGACTAATTTCTAGCTGCTGGGCTATGAGTTGAAGTGATGTGTGAAACTCTGGTTGTTTCTCTAAAAAGAAAGGATCTGTCCTCCTCTTCCTTGTTTTCTCCCTTCTCATCAGCTAGAATATAGACCCAGAAGATGTCAACCACTTTTGGCAATGAGGACAAGGGGTCTCCCTTACCAGTGGTAGAGCAAAAGATAGAAGAAATCTCCATCCTTAATGCTTTATCACCTCTGGAGTACTCATGCTTAGGCTGGTACTTGAGTGAGCTTGTGTAAGCTACAGCTGTTAATCTGAACCTTTGTTACAGCCAAGTGAATTTATATTCCACCCAACACATCCTGTTCCCTAACATGACTTTCTCCCTTTTTACTTACCAGAATTCTCACTCTTGAAGGTCCAGCACACGTCGCACAGTACTCCCTCCAACTCACCTTACCATCTTTCCCTGAACTGCTGTCATACATTACCTGACATGAGGTATGAGTGTAGTAGCCACACATGAAAATATGACTGATTTCTTTACAGCCACTTAAAAAGAAACTGGTTCCTTAATTATGAAGAATAGACCATAAGTGCTGTAGAAATTCAGAGACAGAGGCAATCAATGAAAACTGGAGGGATGAGGAATTATTATATAATTTTAGTAGTTTTCAAATTCGATAATGTGTACAGGAAGACTT